GCTTGCTCCGCGCCGGGGGGGAAACTTCGCCCAAGTTTGGGTTCTGGGAGAACCTGTTGAAGCTGGGAGTAGCTCGGGGCGGGGGACAGAATCGGTCCTGATTCTCGGCTAGGACCGTCGGGGGTGCCTTCTCGGCACTGGGGCCGCATGGTGAGCGCTGCTTGGAGAAGGGGCAGGTGGGCATTGGGGCCATTCAGCAGAAGGCTCAGGGGACGAGGCTGAGGAGGCCCAGCGGAGATTCCCCCAGGGCAAAGTTTGGTTCTTTGGCCGCTTCTTTGTGCGTCTAGGCCCAGAGTGGCGAGCGGAAGATGGGGCTGGGCAGCAGGCGGCTTCAGGGTCCGCATAGACGCTCCCCTGACCATACCTCCTTTCTGCGGTCTCCGCTCTCCTCCCCTCCCCCACCTGGCCTTGACTGCAGCAGGTCGCGGGTCGCCTTTCATTGAAGGCCTACTACGTGCCATGCCTATTCCCAGTGCCCTCTGTTTTATATAGAGGGCCTCCTAACCCAGCAGGTTGGAATGTGTGTTCCGGGAGACGGAAGGATATTAAAGGACTCGGACTGTGCACTCTGCGGCCCTCCCCTTTCTTCATTCTCGGAGTGGCGGAGGGAGGCCTGGCACCAGGCCCGCGGTTGGGGACCCGGGGTGGCCCCCAGCCTGCGGACCTAGACCTGCGCCTTCCTTGCGGTGCTGTGGGTCCCGGTGGATCGCTGAGCCTGCGCCTGCCCTTCCCACAGGGGCGGCCCGAGGGCCATGCGGAGGCCCGTGAGGAAGCCGGCGGCCGGTTGCGTCCTGTAGCCTCCAGAGAGCGTCCAGGCCCTCAGGGCGGCGGCCTCAGCGCCATGGAAGCCCCGTACTCGATGACGGCGCACTACGACGAGTTCCAGGAGGTCAAGTACGTGAGCCGGTGCGGTGCTGGGGGCGCGCGCGGGGCCTCGCTGCCCCCCGGCTTCCCGCTGGGCGCGGGGCGCGGCGCCACCGGGGCCCGGGCTGGGCTGCCGCGCTGGAACCGGCGCGAGGTGTGCCTGCTGTCGGGGCTGGTGTTCGCCGCCGGCCTCTGCGCCATCCTGGCCGCCATGCTGGCGCTCAAGTACCTGGGCCCGGGCGCGGCGGGCGGCAGCACCTGCCCCGAGGGCTGTCCCGAGCGCAAGGCCTTCGCGCGCGCCGCGCGCTTCCTGGCTGCCAACCTGGATGCCAGCATAGACCCGTGCCAGGACTTCTATTCGTTTGCCTGCGGTGGCTGGCTGCGGCGCCACGCCATCCCAGACGACAAGCTCACCTACGGTACCATCGCGGCCATCGGCGAGCAGAATGAGGAGCGGCTGCGGCGCCTGCTAGCGCGGCCTGGGGGCGGCCCGGGCGGTGCGGCCCAGCGCAAGGTGCGCGCCTTCTTCCGCTCGTGCCTCGACATGCGCGAGATCGAGCGGCTGGGTCCGCGGCCCATGCTCGAGGTCATCGAGGACTGCGGCGGCTGGGACCTAGGCGGGGCGGCCGAGCGCGGGGGGACCGCGGCGCACTGGGACCTCAACCGGCTGCTGTATAAGGCGCAGGGCGTGTACAGCGCCGCCGCGCTCTTTTCGCTCACAGTCAGCCTGGACGACAGGAACTCCTCGCGCTACGTCATCCGCGTGAGTGCTGGGCGACCCGCTCCGCGGCTCGCACGCAGGCCGGGGCCCGGGAGGCCGGCGCGGGAGCCGGGCCGCGCAGAGGAGGGCGCGGGCCAAGCGCGGGAGGAGAGATCAAGTAATTTCCCTGAGTAATTGCGGTATTTAGCCAAGCCGCGGAGGCCGCAATTACCACCCTCCGGCGACGTGGAGCGCGGAGGGAGGGGTTCCCGAGGGCTGCCAGGCCCGGTGGAGGCAAGAGTGGGCGGGGGCTGACCCGGAATGCCCGGGGCCCCCAGTCTCAGTGCGGCTCCGTGAGCGCCCCTCACAGGCGGGGAAAGTGAAGGCTTTCGGGGGAAGGAATTGCGAGGGCGAGGCGCCCCTGGTGCCTCCAGCCCAGGCTGGCCCGGGGTGGGGGCTGCAACCGGTTCTCTGGATGGCGTAGGGGCCAATGTCTTTGTGCCCCTGGGGCTGTGACAATGAATGTCTGAGTGTCCTCTAGTTGGGCCTTTGAGTGGGGTGCAGTCTATCTGGGGGAACCTGGCATGGTGGTCTCTGACCCCGTCTTCTCCCTAGATTGACCAGGACGGGCTCACCCTGCCAGAGAGGACCCTCTACCTCGCCCAGGATGAGGAGAGCGAGAAGGTGGCCAGGCGTGAGCTGGGGCAGCAGGGAGGCCTGGGGCCCCAGGAGGACCGAGCCCTGCCCCATAACATCCCCCTCCCTTGGCGCAGATCCTGGCGGCTTACCGGGTGTTCATGGAGCGTCTGCTCAGGTTACTGGGTGTCGATGCTGTGGAGCAGAAGGCCCAGGAGATCCTGCAGCTGGAGCAACAGCTGGCCAACGTGAGCAGATGGGGCTGGGGGATAGGGGCCATTGGCAGGGCTGGGGTCGACTCCCATCTCCCCTCCCAGATCACCGTGTCAGAGTATGATGACCTCCGGCGAGATGTCAGCTCCATGTACAACAAGGTGACGCTGGGGCAGCTGCAGAAGATCACTCCCCACGTGAGTGCTGCCCTGTCTCGGGGGTGGGGGGTGGCATGGAGGGGCACTGGTTCTGGTCACCCCCACCCCTGACACAGGCAAGGCCTTCTGGGGCCATGGACTCGTGTTGTGCCCTGCCCGGCCCACCTGCCCCTCCCTGCCTCACTGTCCCTGCCCACGATGGCCCACAGCTCCGGTGGAAGTGGCTGCTGGACCAGATCTTCCAGGAGGACTTCTCGGAGGATGAGGAGGTGGTGCTGCTGGCCACGGACTACATGCAGCAGGTGTCCCAGCTCATCCGCTCTACACCCCGCAGGTACGGCTGCCAGCCACCCACCCTGCCCCTCCGGCATCCCGTCCCCGCCCGGGCTCCCCGTCCTGTCTGCTGGGTGAGCTCTGACTTCCCCCCTCGGCCTCGGTCCAGTAGCCATGCTGGGGAGGCAGACGAGGAGCACTAGAATGTGCGTCCAGATCCCTGGTTGTGGCCCCTGCTGTCTGAGCGCCTGAGCAGGGCTGGGAGCCTCCTGGGGTGCAGTTTCCTCACCTGGGGATCGGGAGGCCTGAGTAGGCGGACTTCAGAAAGGGGAAGTGTGGCCGCTGCCCTGCCTCCCCTGCTCTGGCTCCCTGTGCCCAGGGCCGCCTTGAGGAGAGCCTCCCTGGTCTCCGCCCACCTTGGGAGGGTCAGAGGCCGTCAAGGCCGGCTCCGAGGCACGTCACCATCTAGTGCCCTCTCCCACCCCACAGCAAGTCAGGGAATGATGCTGGGCCCTGACCCATCAGCATCGGGGGCTCTGCTTCATGGCGAGAGTGTGCCCTGCTGCGTGCGGACCCTGCCCTTTTCCCTAATTTGGGGCCTGGTCCACCCCAGGCTCAGCCTCACATCCCTGCAGTGCCCCCTTGGCCCTTCTCTGTGGGTGCTATTGGATGCTGGGGCAGACCTCAGACTGGAGGGGTGCAGGGCGGGGCAAGGTGGCACCCTAGGATGGGCCCATGTACGGCAGCCTGTCTGGACACCCACCTGTCTCCCCTGCCCCAGGATCCTGCATAACTACTTGGTGTGGCGTGTGGTGGTCGTCCTGAGTGAGCACCTGTCCCCCCCGTTCCGAGAAGCACTGCACGAGCTGGCACGAGAGATGGAGGGCAGCGACAAGCCGCAGGAGCTGGCCCGAGTCTGCCTGGGCCAGGCCAACCGCCACTTTGGCATGGCGCTTGGCGCCCTCTTTGTCCATGAGCACTTCTCAGCTGCCAGCAAGGCCAAGGTCAGGCTGCCCTGGATTTGGGGTGGGGTGGGGGTGCCGAGCTGGGTGTGGGCCCAGAGCCAACACATCCCCCTGCAGCTAGGGCACCAGGCTCAGCCCCCTCTGAGGCGCCAGGCCACTCCTTACCAGGCCTCCTCCCCCAGGAAGCCTACCTGGCCTGTCAGCCACAGGAGGCCCTCAGAGCTGAGCTCCTGCCCACCCTTCTCTGCCACGCTCAGCAGGCGTGGCCTTAGGATTGTACGTGATCATTGCTGGGGCATTTGCCTCCTTCCAGACTGGGAGCTTATTGTTGGGGTGAGCAGAGCTTGGACCCCCACCTCCAAGGTCCCCCCTTGTGCCCTTTGCTGGGCTCAGAAAGCGGTGCCAAATGGTTAGGGGTGCCCCCATGCCAGGTGCCCTGGACCAGAGCTAAGGCCCCTAGGCTGACCCCTGATCCCTGACCCCTGACCTGCAGGTGCAGCAGCTGGTGGAAGACATCAAGTACATCCTGGGCCAGCGCCTGGAGGAGCTGGACTGGATGGATGCCGAGACCAAGGCGGCTGCTCGGGCCAAGGTGGGCGGGCACGTCTCCCGTCTGTGTGTTGGTTCCGCAAACGTTTATTGAGCACTAGCTCTGTGCTGCAAACCCTGGTGGTGTAGTGGTTAAGAGCTACATGTGCTAAGCAAAAAGTCAGCAGTTCGAATCCACCAGGTGCTCCTTGGAAACCCTGTGGGGCAGTTCTACTCTGTTCTATAGGGTCGCTACGAGTCGGAATCGACTTGACGGCACTGGGTTTGGGTTGGTTTTCTTTCAGCTCTGTGCCGGGTGCTGGGGAAAACAGGAGAAAAAGAGACAAAGATGACTGTCTGGTGGGCAGAGTTGACGTCAGCTGCCTGCTCCCCCCGACCTGACCCCACACCTAGAGCTGAACTCCTGTCCTCTCACCCACAGCTCCAGTACATGATGGTGATGGTTGGCTACCCGGACTTCCTGCTCAAGCCCGAGGCCGTGGACAAGGAGTACGAGGTGGGCCTGTTCCCCCTGCCTGCCGACCTGGCCTCCCTGCCCCTGGCCGAGATCCCCAGGGCGGCCGAGCGCCAGACGCAGGGCAGGAGCCCTGGCCCCAGCTAACTGACCATGGGTGGGCAGACGGCCTGCCAGCCAGACGGGCCCTGCCCTGGCTTAGCCCTGGCCTGCCCCTGCAGTTTGAGGTCCACGAGAAGACCTACTTCAAGAACATCTTGAACAGCATCCGCTTCAGCATACAGCTCTCAGTTAAGAAGATCCGGCAGGAGGTGGACAAGTCCACGTGGGTGCCTGGCTGGTGCTGGGGGACAGCAGGCAGTGCCATGGGGGGAGGGGCTCCTTACTGAGGCCAGGAGACACAGGGTGGGGTGCCCCGGTGGGGGCCCAGCCTGGGGGAGGCCCAGACGGTGCACCCTCAAGACACAGCTGTGGGCGGGGCCCAGGGCAGCCTTCAGGGAGGAGGAGGCAGCGGATGTGGGGTCAGTGGAGGAGGGGGTGTGGGCCACCCAGCTGAACCAGCCTCCCTCCACAGGTGGCTGCTCCCCCCACAGGCGCTCAACGCCTACTATCTACCCAACAAGAATCAGATGGGTAAGGCGGCGGTCTGGGACAAGGGGCGGGGCCTGAGAAGGGGGCAGGTCTGACTGTGGCCACGCCCCTGCAGTGTTTCCCGCGGGCATCCTGCAGCCCACGCTGTATGACCCTGACTTCCCACAGTGAGTATGGGGGGTGATGGAGAGCCGCTGAGAGGCTGGGCCCGACAGCAGGCCCTGTGTTGGGTGGGTGGTGCTGCTTAGACTGCCCTGAGCCAGGCTGGGGGGCCCCAGGCACCTCTCTGTGGGTACACAGGTCATGACAGCAGTGACCCTGGTCCCCAGAGTTCCATATCACCGTGGGTTATTTAGAAAAACGTGTATTTTTTTTCCCGACATCCTATGTCCCTGTCCTCAGAACCTACCTGTGACTCATTTAGGTGTTTCAAAAGGGAGCTGTCCTAGCGATAAGGAGGCCAGCCCTGTCGTGGGTGCTTCAGTCGCTCTCCAACCCTGCCCCCCAATCCCAGCTCCATGAGTTGGTACTTCTTAGAAGGCAGCTGGACAGGCGTCACTGGCCTGTTTTACATACCCCCTGAGAAAGCTCCGGTGTGGGTGCTCCAGGGCCATGTGGACCCCGCTGTGGCATCCCTGGGCCACCTCCCAGCCTGCGGGGCGCCTCCCAGGGCTGGAGCAGCAGTGGAGGCTCTCACAGGCATTGGGGGCTGAGCCTGACGCTGCCGCCCTGGGCCCAGGTCTCTGAACTACGGGGGCATCGGCACCATCATCGGGCACGAGCTGACCCATGGCTATGACGACTGGGGTGAGGCCTTGGGGGCCTAGCTGGGGATGTGGGGGGCTGGCTGTCCCCACGGGCTGGTGGGTGGGTGGGGGGAGGACTCAGTGCCCAGCCCACCCCCGCCCACTGCCCACAGGGGGGCAGTACGACCGCTCGGGGAACCTGCTGCATTGGTGGACGGAGGCCTCCTACAGCCGCTTCCTGCACAAGGCCGAGTGCATCGTCCGTCTCTATGACAACTTCACTGTCTACAACCAGCGGGTTAGCCCCTCGTTCCTCGGGTGCGAAGGCCGCTGGGCACGGACTGGGAGCATGCACACCACATGCACACACCGGTGTGCAAACAGTCCTGTGCCAGGTCCCTGCAGACATGCTGATGTGTGTTCACACGGGCTTCTGTGCACACTCACATGGGTACAGGAATGTGTTCAGGAAGACTCACGGTGCACGTGGGAGGAAGGCCTGCTGGGAAAGGGAAGGTGGGCAGATGGGTGAGGGCAAGTGGCAGGGTGGGCCGTGCCTGAGGACGACCAGCCGGCCCCACGCAGCCCCAGGCTCTCCCGTCTCGGCAGGTGAACGGGAAGCACACACTTGGCGAGAACATTGCGGACATGGGTGGCCTCAAGCTGGCTTACTACGTGAGTTCCCCCGCCTGGACCTCATCCCTGCCAGGCCCCGTGGGGAAGGGGTGGGAGCTGGTGGGGATGTGGCCAGAGCTCCGAAATAACCGCCCCCTTTCACCCTCTGGGGACTCTGGCCTGGGGTGGGGTGAGGCCTGTGCTGGGCACAGGGTCCCCTGGAAGAGGATGGACTCATGGGCTCTTATTTGCAGGAAGAGCAGGGAGGGCTGCCTGGAGGCAGTGACCCTGACTGGGGTTTGCATACCTGGGAGTGCAGTGCAAGGAGGGTGGGGTGGGCAGGGAGCCTGGGGTGCCCTAGCGGCTGCTGTGCAGAGTTCCCCGGGGCCACATCCGTGGAGGGGCTGGCTGAAGGGCTGGTGTGGCTGGGTGGAGTGCAGGAGGAGAGGGGGCAGCGCCCAGGGCAGGGCGAGTCAGGTCACCCTCCGTGGGCACAGCCCCTTGTGCTCTCCACACCCCCAGGCCTATCAGAAGTGGGTGCGGGAGCACGGCCCGGAGCACCCCCTGCACCGGCTCAAGTACACGCACAACCAGCTCTTCTTTATCGCCTTTGCCCAGGTGGGCCCAGGCTGGGGGTTGGGCTGGGGACCCAGGGTGGGGGAGGCATGGAACTCAGGCCCAGGCCCAGTCCCAGCCCTGCAGATCCAGCCTATCCCCTGTCAGCCGCCCCTCTAGAGAGGATGGCCCCGTGGCATCTGATGGGGGTGTTCAGGCATAGCCTTGGGGACGGTGAGGGGTGCGCCAGGCAGGCGGGGCTGGACCGTGGAAGCTGGGCCTCATCCTCCTCTTCCCTCCTGCGCCCCTCCCGGGCCAGAATTGGTGCATCAAGCGACGGTCACAGTCTATCTACCTGCAGGTGCTGACCGACAAGCACGCACCTGAGCACTACAGGTAGGCCTGCTGCAGCCCTCCCGCCTGGCTTCACCCCGTCCTCAGGTCTAGAGTGGGAACAGCTGGGGGTGGGAAGGGGCCAGGACCACCCGGCCTCTGGGCCCAGCCTCCCCTTCCTCCCCCAGGGTGCTGGGCAGCGTGTCCCAGTTTGAGGAGTTTGGCCGGGCCTTTCACTGCCCCAAGGACTCGCCCATGAACCCTGCCCACAAGTGCTCCGTGTGGTGAGCCCACCACCCACGCCCCCGCAGCCCTGCACGCGTCGCCTTCTGCTGTGGCCGGGGCGGGCATGGACCCGGCCCTGCAGGCCCCTCCGGCACTGCCCGCTTTTCCAGCCCTCCTGCCGTGCCGCTGCTCCTCACTCAGATGCGGTGGAGCTGGGAGAAGGCTGGGCTCCTGGGGCGGGAGGGAGGGTCCCGGGGTCCCCTACTCGGCTCCAGGGAGCCAGCCCTGGGCCAGGCTGGATGTACCGGCCCCACCTTCGCTGTATTCTTGCTGCTAAGTCTGGTAAATAAAGCTGCTGTACAGTCGTCTTGGCCTCTTCAGGGTGCAGGGACCTCTGGGCACAGCCAGGACCGAGAGGCCTGGAAGGCGTGGTCTCCCTGGAGCTGGCTTCTGATGCCCAAACTGGTCCCGCCCCGCCCCGCCCTGGGGCAGTTCCCCTCAGGGGTTTTAGCTAGGCGTCCTCTGTCCCAGCCTCTGTCCCCGCCTCTGTCAACTTCTCTGTCCCTGCCTCCCTTGTGTCCCCACCCCGTGTCCCTGCCTCCCTCGTCTCCCTGCCTCCTCCGTGTCCCCGCCTCCCCCGTGTCCCCACCTCCCCCATGTACTTGCTTTCTGTCTTCTCCTACCTTCTCCGCGCCTCTCCAGTGTCCCTGCCTCCTTTGTCCCTGTGTCCCCGCCTCTCCTGTGTCCCAGCCTCCCCTGCGTCCCCGCCTCCCCCGTGTCCCTTCCTACCCTGTATCCCTGCCTCTTGCATTTCCCGCCTTCTCTGTCCCCGCCTCCCCTGTGTCCCCTCCTCCCCCGGCCTCCCCTGTCCCTGGCCTTCGTCCCCGCCTCCTCTGTGTCCCCGCCTCTCCTGTGTCCCCAGCCTCCCTGACCGTGGCCTTCTTGTGTCCAGCCTTCCAGGGTTCTTCTGTCCTTTCCACCAGCCACAGATTGCTCTCTGCCCAGGGCTTCCTGCCCAGTTCTGGGGGTGCCCTGGAGCAGCCTCTTGTGGGTGCGGGAACACCAAGCCCAGGGACCCACCTTCCAGATGATGCAGGGCGTTCCCACCCCCCCCCACCCTCCTTCCCAGAAGAATGCTTTGTCGCTAGGCGGCCCCTGGCCTCAGCTCCTTTTTCAAGAAGGATTGTGACTGCCCTTACCTGAGCCAGGGGCTGACTCACATGTCCTCTGGGGGCTCCTGCAGCCCCCAGGGTGGGGGGTGGTGCTCTAGGGTGAGAAGTGGGGGGCGAGAGGTGGCTGGCACTGGGCTCAGACATGGCCGATGGTGGGAGGGGGAGCAGGAAGGGCTGCCTGACTTGGACCAGGAGGGGAGGCAGGAGGGGGAGGGGGGACTGTCGTGCTGGGCAGCCCCCTGGGGATCCCAGGCGTCCACAGCAATGGGGATCAGTGGGCAGGTGCCCTTCCTCCTGGGGCCTGTTTTTCTAATTCAGGGTTAAGTCACCCGAACGGAGTCCATTGTGGGTCTTGGGGGTCCTGGAGGGGCTCACTCTCCCTGAGCACCACCCAGCGTGGGCCCGTCCCCATCTCTCCCACTGTGGGGGCAGGGGGGGCATCTTGCAGCCCATCGCTTGTCACTGTGCTCAGGGATCTATGTCTCCCCCAAGACTTGAGTGACGTTTAAAAAGTCTGTGTGCGCTTAGCCTCAGGCACACCTACATCTGGGACAAGACACAGACAGTGCACTGACACAGCTGATTTCGCCAGAGTTGGGGGCGCTCCACAGAGCAGAACTTCCCAGGAGTGGTCAGGCTGGGGATGGGTGTGGCGTTGGCAGAGCAGGGAGGGACACAGAGACCCCCCAGGGCTGTGGGCACTTCCTCCCAGTCGGCTGTGGTGGACATTGGGTGCCTAGGGTCTGGGAAAGGTGGGGCTCCTTTGAGACGTGCTCCTTGGAGGTGGGGCTCATGGATGTCTGTGCCCATGGAAGTGCTGCGTTTGTGGGCCTGCCTCAGTTACCCCTCAGAGCTCCTTTCCCTTGGGCTGGGCACATATATACCATCTCTCTGGGACAGAAGGACAGTCCTCTCCCCACTTTGACCCTGCCACCCCGCTCTGCTCCCCACGCCCTATCCGGCCCTCTGTGTGGGATCCTGGCTGGGGTTGGAATCCCCTGGGCCAGCACTCTTGCCCCAGCCACAGGCTCCCAGAATTCCCAGCTCCACCCAAGAACAGCCCCTCATCTCCGCAGGCTTAGGGGAGGCTGGGATCAGGAGGGGCCTGTGGGCTGGGGTGAGTCTCCCGCAGGAAGTGCTTCAAGGCCTGGACACTCCTGGGGCTGAGCTCCCCTTCCGTGTGTGTGGTTGGCATGAGCTGGGGGTGGTAGAATGAAGGGTCCTGGGAGAGAGTTCAGAGCATGAGGCCTGGACCCTCTGGGGGCCTAGGCTACTGGCATGTGCTTGCTGCCTGGCATGTGCTAGGCGTAGGGGCACCCACCTGGGGTCAGGGCCGTGGCCCAACAGGGGCCATGAGGCCACTAGGGGCCCCTCAGCCCTGCCGTGTACTGCTGGGTCATGGTGCCATGTGACACTGCTCCTGGGGGCTGTGGAACCCCTCTTGCTCCTCTGGGGAGAAGCTCAGGAGACCAGTGGGTGGAAGGGAGCAGCAGCCTAGGATATCCTGAGGACAGAGTTCCCGTGCTCAGGCAGGGCCCTGGAGTTCCAACACACCCCTGGAGCCCAGAGCCACACAGAGCAGGGAGGGTACACGGGTGACATCGTGTGCCGCCCACTGCTTCCCAAACCGCCTTTTCAGGCAGGCTCTAAGCCACCCTCACTGTGACCAGAGCAAATAGGATGGCCCTTGAACAGAGGAGGAAACTGAGGCAGGAGGGGGCAGGCCCCGTGCCCTACCCAAGGTCACACTGCTCATGTCTGCTGATGGGCAGGTGTTGACCTTCAGAACCCTTGTGCACTGAGTGGCTGGCAAATGCTCAACATAGGCTCCAGAGACCTCTCTTGGGAAACCTGCCTGCAGCATGGAAGGTTCTGTTGGCCAGGCGCGGTACGAGGACCCACATGGGGATTAACCCGATTGGATTCAGCTGGGATGCAGGAGTGTGCGCAAACTCAGCACAGCTGCCCCTCCCGGCCTCATTTTCCCCGTGTGCTAAGTGAGGCCGTGAGCTTAGCTGGGGAGGCCCTTCCTACAGTGACATGGGGGGAGGACTGCCGTTGGTGGCTCATCCGTCCCCTCGAGGTTGGCTCCCCACTCAGTGTGTGTCCTCCAAGTTCAGCTCATTGGGATGACGGAAAGCGGTCTTCTGCTAAGCGTTCAATGTTGTTAGGTGCTGTCGAGCTGGTTCCAACTCATAGCGACCCTGCGTACAACAGAACGAAACACTGCCCGGTCGTGCGCCATCCCCACAATCATTGCTATGTTTGAGCCCATTGTTGCAGCCACTGTGTCAGTCCAGCTCCTTGAGGGTCTTCTTCTTTTTCTGCTGACCCTCTACTTTACCAAGCATGATGTCCTCCTCCAGGGACTGGTCTCTTCTGATAACATGTCCAGAGTTATTTAATAGCATTCAATAGCAGGGAAATAAAAGAGCCAGAGATGGCTTACAACTGTGCTGAAGCTTCTAGGTGCCCCTGTGTGCCCAGAGGTCCCTGGGCCTCACACTGGCCCCTAGTCTCTGCCATCCCCAGCTATGAGGGTGGTGCTTGAGCCCAGGGACTCCAGTGCGGTGACCTAGGCAAGTGGCTGCCCTCTCGGGGCCCCGGGAGCTCATCTGCAGCGGGGTAGGGTGTGCAGCAGGACAGGTAGGTAGTGGCCAGCGCTGACACACAGCTGCCTGTCATTGATTGATTGCACCCCCACCCTGTCCCTGCCCGATACTGTGAGACTCAGCCAGAGAGTCCGTGTGAGCCCAGCTCCCTGAGTCGTCAGGCCTGGGGGCCCAGTGGAGGCCAGCTCTGTGCAGATCTGAGAAGGAAGGAAAGCTGCTGGACTTGGGCTTCTGCCCAGCCTTCCCTTCTGAGGGCCTCAGAGGGCACAGTGGTGATGGTGGAGGCTGGCCCAGCTCTGGTGGTGCTAGATTTCAGGGCACCCAGGAAGGAGCCCCTGAGCAGCCCTGAGCCCCAGGCCTTCCTGACTGGTTCCCTTGGAGTCCAGCTTTGGTTTCCTCTACCCTGTGGTCACTTCTACGCTGACCTGATGCCCCAAGGGATCCTACCTTGTAAGGAACCCTATATGCAATATTTTTAAAGGGCTTGAGTCCCCATTCCAAATGTGTCGGGAGCCCAGGGTCCTCAATATGCAGACATAGGGATGTTCTCAGAGGCTGGTTCTCTCATCCCCCCTTGGTGGGCTGGCATTTTCCACCCCCATGTCCCCTGTGCTGGGTGGCACTGGCTTCCTTCCCTCCCAGAACCACTCACCCAGGCTTCACTGAGGGTTTGGGGGTGCTGGGGGGCATGGCCTGTGCAGCTGCTGAGATCTGCCTGCAGGTCCTTTACCGCCTCCTCCTCTCCTCCCCCCAAGGCTCCTCATCCCCTTCCTCAAGCTGACCTTCCATTTATAAAAAGGGTCATTTCCTCTCCTTGCCCCCTGCTGGTGGCTGTACCCACCGAGGCTGTCTCTCAGGAGCCACCCGAGGCAGGACAGGGCAGGGCAGCCCAACCAGCAGCGCTGGAGCCGGCTTTCCTTCTGCTGTCTCCTCCAGGCTGTGGAGGAGAGACTGGTTTTTACAGATACGAGTTAACGCCTCCTCCCACCCTTAAAAGCAGAAGGATCTGTGATCCGCTTTTGTTTAAATAGCATATCCCCTCGGTCTCCTCTTGCGGGGGGGCCCCAGGGCACTTCTATCCCCCTCCCCCCACCTCCTGGGGGTGGGAAGGAGGCTTCTTGAGAAATGGAGACCCTTTAGGCTTTGGAATCAGCAGAAGTTCTAGCTAACCCATTGCCTTCCAGTCCATTCCAAGGCTGTAGTCTTTCCAAGGCTGCCACATCTTTCTTCTGTGGAGCAGTTGGTGGATTTGAACCACTCACCTTTTGGTTAACAGCCAAGTGCTCAACCACTGCGCCACCAGGGCTTCTTGCTACTGCTCGGCAGTTGATCCACATTGGGGCCGTTCTCGGGAGTATTTTCTGGAGAAAAATACAGGCCACCGACCATGCTACTTATAATCCCTTCGCACTCTTACAGAAGGTCTCAGAACAATGGGGAAGTCAGCCCGAGGAAGTCCTTGCTCGATAACCTCGTTTTTTGTTGCGTTTTGGATACCAAGAGTTTGGACGACGCGGAATTGAGCGAGACCTTGGCAGTCGTGTACCTGAACCCTCACCTAATGATA